AGTGTTCCTCATCCTATCCACCTTTTATAGAAAAACTTCTCGACGAATACAAGGACTTGCAAACTGAGCTGACGGGAATTACTGAGCATGCTATTAAGCACACCATCGAGATCATTCCCGGAAGCAAGATTCCCAATGGCCCCATTTATCGAATGTCTCCTAGGGAACGTGAGAAATTTCGAAAGCAGTTGCAATAACTTACTAACAAGGGATGAATTCGCCTTAGTTCATCTTCTCATGGTGCACTTGTTTTATTCGTGCCCAAAAAGGAAGGTGAACTTCGTCTATGTATAGATTATCGTGGGCTGAACTCCGTCAGTGTCAAAAACACGGAGCCTCTTCTGCGTATTGATGATCTATTGGATCAGTTGCAGGGGTGCAAATATTTTTGCAAGATTGATATGAAGTCAGGGTACCACCAGATCGAGGTGGCTCCAGAGGATCAACACAAGACGACATTCCGAACCAGGTATGATCACTATGAGTCCGTGGTGATGCCTTTCGGTTTGACTAACGCACCTGCGACCTTTCAAAGGTCCATGAACGATTTGTTCCGACAATGGATCGATCAATTCGTAGTAGTCTATCTTGACGATATTATAGTGTACAGTAGGACACTGGAAGATCACGAGAAACACCTACGAATGGTCTTATAGAAGTTGCGTGAGGGCAACTTCAAACTTTATTCGAAAAAGTCTGAGTTTGTTAAGCCTGAAGTGTTGTACTTAGCGTATATAGTGAACGAAGAAGGACTAAGGCCTGAAGAAAAGAAGATTACAACAATCAGAGATTGGTTACAACCTAAGACCATAACTGAACTAAGATCTTTCATGGGACTCGCTAGCTATTATAGGAAGTTCGTCAAAAACTTCTCCTTGATAGCTGCTCCTATGAGAAAACTTCTCAAAAAGAAAAAACTTCGGTTGTGAGATAAAGATTGTGAGTCATCATTCAGAAAGTTAAAATATGCTCTGACTTACTACCTTGTCCTAAAGATTGTTAACCCTTCTCTCCCTTTCATCGTTACGACTGACGCAAGTCAGTATGAGATTGGGGTTGTGCTACAACAAGACAACGGTAAGGGATATAGACCTATTGAGTTTATGTCCAGAAGACTTCCGTAAGAGAAAGTGACCAACTCCACCTATGAAAGAGAATTGTATGCCTTAGTTGTTGCACTAGACACCTGGAAACACTACTTGTTAGGAAGACATTTCACTGTCTACTTTGATCACTCTACTTTGAAGTGGATCAAGACTCAGCCTAAGCTCTCCGACAAGTTGGTAAGGTGGTCCGCATTCCTTGACACATTTGACTTTGAGGTGAAAACCATCAAAGGTAAGTCTAACGTGGTTCCGGACGCTTTGTCCAAACATGCAGATTTCTTTGGAACTATTGTCTCTTATCTCGATATTGCAAGTGAACTGAAAGAACAGATTCGCCAGGGTTATGAGAGTGATCCTATTTGGAGAACTATCATAAGAACTCTACGAAAGAACCCTGAGTTGTTTCCAGAATATCGAATGACTAATGACTTACTCTTCTTGGTGGATAAAACCGAAGAACGATTGTGTGTTCCTCACCTATAATCAATCAAGAGTTTAATCATTGCGGAATGCCATGACGCAGAAGATCATTTTGGTTTTAAGAAGACGTATGTCGATGTGCGTGAACATTTTGACTGGAAAGGAATGAAGGAAGATATACTAACGTATGTGCAGACTTATCTTGTCTGTCAAAGGAACAAACCCTCATATGAGAATCCGATGTGACTATTGCGATTACTGTCTATTCCAAGTGAGTCAGGTGAGTCTATCTCTATTGACTTTATGAGCCTCACTAAGAGTCGAAACGACAATAGTCAGGTAATGGTAACCGTCGATAGATTCTCTAAATATACTATGTTCATTCCTTTGTCTGCTGAAGCTGGAGCCGAACTAGTCATTGAAAACTTCCAAATGCGATGAGTCTCTGAGTATGGATTTCCCAAAACCATCGTATGAGATAGAGATATTCGGTTCACTAGTCTACAATGACAAAAGTTGATGGAAGTCTATGGAACCAGGTTGACCATGTCGTCAGGCAGACATCTTGAAATGAATAGTCAAACTGAGCAAATGAATCGTCTTTGTCAACCACTTTTGTGAATGTATGTTCGTCCTTACTGGATTGATTGGGATGAGAATTTGTTTAAAATTGCTAGTGCATATAACAACAGTATACAAACTGTTACATATAGAACACCTAACGTACTGCATAAAGGATGAAAGTCTAGACGTCCTATTGATGCATTAACGATGGACCAGATTCAGAGGCTACCCCCAGGTACGTGTGAATTCGCAGTTTTATATGAAGAAGATATTAAGAATGGGAAGGAAAACATACAGAAAACCCAACTGCAAATGATTGAACAAGCTAATACACATCGTCGTCCTTCACAATTCCAAGAAGGGGACTTTATTTGGGTTAAGTCTAAAAAGTTTTCCTTGAAGAAAATGTGTCACAAAAACTGCTACATGTCTCCTATGGACGCTGGAAAGTTCTTAAAGTAATCAGAGGTGAAGATGAACCTTCATATCGTATAGATATACCTCCACACATCAGGACATACCCTGTCTTCCATGCGTCTAAGTGCTACCTTATGTAGAAAATGATAATTTTTTAAATAGGTCATCTATGATTCCACGTTCTATGAACGAAGGATATGAAGTTGAGAAAATATTGGAACATGGCTATTTCTCTACAAGTGGCAGAGGACGACCTCAACAACAGCATAAGGTAACGTTCAAATCTCAACCTTCATCTGAAGCCAGATGGTTTAGTAGGAAAGAACTCCTACCTACTGCTTCTGATATTGTTGCTGTATATGAACGTGGGTTAACTGAGAATTGATATATTTTCTGCGATGGAACTCGAAAACTGATCTCGTGGAATACCTGAGGGTCAACTCGGCCGCCCTCAGGCTAGGCCGAAACAGGGGCAAAAAACCCCACACGATGACTCAGGGCCTGGATGTGCGGCAACTGACTTTGGTCAACTGTCGGGATCCCAACAGTTAAAGTCCAAAGGTACCTAACCCAGGCCGCTGGTCAAGCACGTACACTTGTTTGTATGCAGGTACCCAGACAGCATCAGGACCAAGGGATAAGTTTGCAACTGCACAATCTGGGTCCTCAGCTGTGAGTCGATCTGAACGACTATCGGAAAAGCGCCCGAGGCCGGACAGCCTCGACCAATGCTACTTAAGGCTAGCCTCGAGTGAGTCAAGCATTCAGTCTTGCTATGCTGCTTTGACGCTGACTCGACTTTGGCTTAACGCCGGCTTCATGCTGGCACGACGCTGGCTACACGCTGGTTGTGCACAGGCATTGCAGACTACTGCACGAGGTGAAGGCAACATGCTGGTGCTTCTGCATTATGCACATTGCATATTGATGTGGCGCTACCTATACTCTACATTGCATGATGACGTGGCGCTACCTATAGTCTACATTGCATGATGACGTGGCGCTACCTCTGGTTTACATTGCTGATGTGGCGCTACCTCTAGTCTACATTGCATGCTGATGTGGTGCTACCTCTGGTCTACATTGCATGTTGATGTGGCGCTACCTCTGGTCTACATTGCATGCTGATGTGGCACTTCCTCTGGTCTACATTGCATGCTGATGTGGCGCTACCTCTGGTCTATAGTGCATGCTGATGTGGCGCTACCTCTGGTCTATAGTGCATGATGATGTGGCGCTATACCTGGTTTACAATGCATGCTGACGTGGCGCTGCCTCTGGTTTACAATGCATGCTGATGTGGCGCTGCGAATGGTCTTCATGGATGATGTGGCACATGCCACCTATCTTGACTGATGACGTGACACCTATGTTGCACGCTGGCCGCGGCCGGGTTCAGCCCAGGCCGCGGCTGGCGGCCTGGGCCGGGACCCCCCCGGCCTCGGCCGGTCCGACCGAGTTTTTTCGGCCTCGGCCTCGACCGATCTGGGGGGCGGTTTCCAAAGCGGGGAGCGGTTTTGAGGTGGGGGGGTGGGGGGGCACCCCCTCACAGTGGCAAAGCGTCAAAAAAATAACAAACGGGGGGGTCCTGCACATGACCCTGGGAGGGTGGGCCGCGAAAATTTGTGCGTCCCCCGCGTGCGGGTTCGTCGATGCGGGGTTGCAGGGAAGAGGGTCTGGAACACTAGAAAAATATATAAAAAAAAATTTGACCCCTGCGGGGGCGGCCCAACGGGGGTTGGATGAGGGCCTGGTTGGGGCGGCCCGTGCGGCCAGGTCGGGTCAAAGCTGGACGGGGCTGCAGATGGCAGACCCCAGGCAGATGAGGGCCTCAGGCAGGCGTCGATTTCATTTGTGAAGGTGATGACAGTTCGTGACATATTTTGAAACATCACATTCATGGCAATCATAGGTCAGACCTTGGTTGGCATACCAAAGTCACAACACATTCACAATCAATCACAGTGCGGCCAACCATAAGTTTCAAACAATGTTAACAGGCAAGTGTGTCATAGACTCATAGTGTGTGTTCACTCATCAGACAAGTGGAAGTTTGTGTAAGAACACATTCATTAGCACATCATCCCTATTTGGCATCCGAAATTAACAACACATTCATAATGGAGGCATCCATGACATGCAGGTGCGTGGCATCGGAGAAGCACATAATTTGCAACAATCACGACAACAAACCAAAAACCACTCACCAAACAACAGCGACTCAGATCCAAAACCAATGTTGGTAGAGGAACACGAACAAGAGCAAATATATGACAAAGCATTTCAATGGAAATGCGTATGTACAAGGCTAAAGCCAAAAACTGGACCCGTCGTTTCTACTGTACAACCGAGTAGAAAAAACAAAAACTGGACCCTACTGACAAAGCATTTCAATGGAAATGCGTATGTACCAGGCTGAAGCCAAAAAATGGACCCGTCGTCTCTACTGTACAACCGAGTAGCAAAAAAAAAAAAAAAAAAAAAAAAAAAAACCCTAATGTCCACATACTGTACAACCGAGTAACAAAAAAAACTAATGAAAAAAAAAATACCACGGACGTCGTCACCTCCCTCCAGAGCGCGCGCGGCCTCTCCCGGAGGACGGGCGGCCATGCGGTCCTCCCCGACGCCCTCCTCTCCCTCCGGCACCTGTGCCCTGTGCTCCGCTGAGGTATGCCGCCTGTGCTGTAGCGGCTGCCGCGGCCACTTGTGCCCTGCGTCTGCGGGCCGCAGTCTCGATCGGCTCGGATTCTGTGTCTGCGTCCTCGTCCTCCGCCGCCCGTGCAGCAATCCCCATCTCTCTCTCCCTCTGAATCGCGTCCAATGCTGCCTGGCCAGCGGCGACCCCTGCCGCGAGTCGAGCCTCAACCTCCGAGAGGCCACACTGTCGTCTCGTCCCGGGACGCATTGACAACCCCTCCTCGCCTGATGTGAACTGCTCTCCCCCCAGCATGTCCGTGGATGTCCCTGCGGCCTCGAGGACCAATGATCTCCTCGTCTCTGCTCGTGACAAACCGAGCATGCGGCCTGCCATCTGCAGGCTCGGACGTTCGGACCCACCCTCCGTCTGAACTGGCGTACGTTCCGTGAAGACGCCCCTCCCGACGTCGTAATCTGCCCGCAACCGCTTCCCGACCCGACGAACAGCTGACCATCCGCCACCCACACCACCTCGGACTGTCGGTGGGGAACCGCCACTGTGCGCAACTCCGGGTGCCGCCGTCTGGTCCCCGGCGTTGACCCCAGCCTCCGGAGTCCGTGCAGGTGGTGGAGGCATCGATCCTGCACTCTCTCTGTCGCCGTCACTGCGTCTGCCGGACGCCACCTCACCCGCTCCGGACTCCCTCCCTCTCACGCCGCTGAGCGATGAACCCGGCCAACCAGGGCTCTGCACCACGAACGGCGGCGGTGAATATACCCTCCTAGGGGCCCGCCTCTTGCCGCTCTTGCGGCTCATGTGTGCGAAAGGGTCATCCGTCAACGCTTGTGCCAAAACGTGGACGTCGAAGAAAGTGTGCCCTGTGTCGTCAGGGCGCAAGGGAGGTACTGCGGGGTCCCTCAACACCAAGGCGAGCCTATACGCATCGTCCTCGGGACTGTGGTCGTCGTCATCATCTCCGTCCTCGGGACCGTGGTCGTCGCCATCGTCTCCCCCGACACCCGCGGTATCCCCATCTCCACCGGGTCCACCCTCTCCTCTGCCACACACGGCAACACCCTGTCCCTCATCACTTGCGGTCTCCCCGTCGCCGCGTCGTCCATCACCTGACCCACCATCCGCGGCGGCATCCTGTCCCTCATCATCGAACTCCTGCTGAACTGCCTCCTCAGGGACACCCGAGTCGTCGACGTCACGGCCTCCCGCCCCTTTTGTCTCCAACTCCCTCTGCCGACGCTACTCGTCAAGATACGCGAACCGACCCTCCCATCGTGGCAAACTCCCCAGCCTCTCCTCCTCCTCTCGGTCCAAACGGGCATCCCTCTCCTCGTTAGTCTCAACAGGGCCCCGCACAACGTCCGCGTCGGTGCGCACCTCCGACGGTGAGGCATGTCGACGTCCCTCGACACTGAAATCTCCCAAGCTCCCACCAAGCCATCCGACGTCAAAGCCGTGTGTGCGGAGCACCGACGGCGAGCGGGGGCGGATACCGGCGTCGGAAGGAGTCCTCTCCCCCCACAATCCTTGCCGTCATGTGTCCGGTCTCCGCCTACTGCCGACGCCAACCTCTTCGAACGCCTAAGTGCCTCGGGCTGTGCAGTGCTCCGATGATGGGAAGGAGAGAAGCGACAATCGTGAAGGGGCACCTGCTCATCCTCGGCCTCCTCCTCGGCCTCGCTGTCGCTCCTAACCTCCCAACGTCTGCCTGTGTGCCGAAGGCCTCCCCGTGGCTGCTGCTCCCCCGAGTCGTCGACGCCAACCTCCGCACGCGAACCTCCTCCACGACCACCACCGGCTCTGCTGCTGCCACTCGCCTGTGCGGTCGACGACACATCACCAGTGATAAGTGATGTGAATGAATCCATGCCGTCACGTCCCCCACCGCAAGTGAAGTACACCCGCTCCGCCGTCGGGTCGCCACTCAGCGGCGTGTCATCATCGTCTGTCCACTCGTCGTCGATGTTGTCGTCTGCCGCATCAACGTCTGCATCATCCCCACCCTCTGGCCACGGTCGCAGCTCCGTCGCCCTCTTGCCGAACACGTCCCGAACCGAATGGGCTCTGGACGGTCGGCTATGCTGGAAAGCTACAATCTGCCGCTCGATCTCCACCTCTAGAACACTGCCAGCAGGTCGCGCTCCCCACACCTCGGGATCCACGTCTCCCTCCTCATCCTCGTCCTCTGCCGCCGTCCCCTCCCAACCGGTCCCCATAACCCATGGCAACACGTAGCCACCACCCTGCCGTGCGCACGAGGCCAGTTTGAGATTGGTGGCAATCTCAACCAGCTGTGCAAGCTTGGCAAACCCAAGCTTGCAGCGCCTCGCCATGTTGATGCGCTCGTGCTGCGCCCAGTTCCTCTCCGCTGGAGAGGCGGACGTCCACAAGTGCATGACACGGATGACGATGGTGCGCAACTCCGGGTGGGCCCGTCCATGGTCAAACCACCACGCTGCACATCGCTCGGTCTCGCGGTCCCCCCTGCAAACGGCCGCCTCGACATCGGAGAGGGACCGATCTCCCCAATCCCCTCGCCTCGAGTGGAAGGCCCTCATCTGGTCCCTCACGGTCCTGTGCACTCTGCCGACCGAATCGCCGCCGGTCTGCGCCAGGAGAAATCTGTCGCACTCCTCGACCACATGGGCGTCGTCGGCGGTCGTCTGTAACGACTCGTAATACATGAGGGACCGTCGACGAGGGTTGAGGAGGTGGGCCGCGACATGTGTGGGCTCTAGCATGTGGAGGTTGCGGATGGCAACCTCACGCACGCACGGCTCGATCATGTCCTCCGGCACGTCGACCCTCCTCATCAACTGCAACACATGCTGACTCCACTCGTAAACGACGGACATCATCATCCCCCTCCTATCCATCCTGCACAACAGTTGGTGGACGAGCGCCATGATAAGGAGGGCGTACTGGACACAACGCGAAAACTCCGCGTCCCGGATCTGCTGCTGTACCCACTGCGCCTGCGGTACATGCCTGCGCTCCCACAGAATGCGTGCCCAAGCATCCCCGTGCAACATGCTCTCCAACGCGTCTTGTCGGCCTTTGAGACACGTCAGCATCAGGAAAACCGATGCGAACCGTGTCTCAACGGGCTCGACGAGCTGAACACAAGGGCTCACTTTCCTAAACAGGGCGTGAGCAGCGCTGTGCGATTTAGAAAATCTCACAAGCGCCCGAGCGCGGATGATGGTGTCCTTGACCCACCCCACTCGCATCTCGATATCTGACAACATCAAGTTGCAGACATGGGTGGAGCAGGGGAGCCAAGTAATCCTCCTAATGTCGGGGTCGCGGTCAGTGGCGAATCTGCGCGCCGCCGCCGTATAGTTACTGGCGGAGTCTGTGCGGAAGCCGATCACGTCCTTTGCAGGAAAGGACAAGATGATGGCCAGCCACCTACGGTACACGATGTCCGCTGTGTCTCGGACCGACCCGTCACGTGCGACGGTGGCGTAGAGCAAGGCGCCGTTGGCGCCCCCTGTGAGGAAGTTCACGAGCGGCTTGCCGCTACGCGACTTCCTCCCGTCGGGGAGAATGGTGGCACCTCTGTGCCGAAAAACGATGCGCACCTCGCTCACCATCGTCGCCACCTTCGCCCTCTGCGAAGGAATACCGGCGCCCGCTGTAACCCTGAACAAGGGAAACCGGAATTGGACACTGCGAGGCACTCTCTCCACCGTCTGCCTCACCCTCTGGAACTCCGGACCACGGAAGGCGTTGAATGGCAACCCCTTCACGTAGATCCACTGCAGCCACTCGTCTGTGAACTCGACCAACTTCTCCTTGGCGTACATATAGTCAATCATCGTCTGCCGAGCCCTCTTCTCCCTGCCCGTGTCGCGCACCTCGACGCCAGCCTCCCCCATTGTCCTCTTCTCCCTCCTCGCGCGCTCCAACTCAGGTCGCGGTGCCCTAGGAGCGGGACCCGCTCGACCGACGCCTCTTGACGTCATCACCACCTCCTCCCCCGGCAGGTCAGGCTCTCCGACTGCCTCATCCGCCTCGTCTCCCACCCCCCCCTCCCTGGCCCCCCCCTCCCGGCCCTCCTCATCGAGGGCGTCCTGAATGTCGTCCCTCTCTCCGTCGTCGGTCCGCTATCGCTGGCCACCTGCGGGCGCTCTCGTGTCCCGTATCCCCTCGTCCGCCATCCACCTCTGCACCCGCTGAGCAGTGGACGACACGAATGTGTAGTCCGTGCCGTTCCAGAGTTCCGCGAGAACTCTCATCCCCCCAGCCTTGCAGTACTTTGACTGCGTGAAATGGCACGCGGCCTTCGACGACCCCCCCTGAAACAGGTGGCCTTATAAGTTGCAACGCAACTTTCGGTCCCCATGCATCTTGGACTGGTCCCCGACGTACTGCCCCGTCGTGACGAAGTTCCAAACCAAGTTCCCCCGCCTTAACTTCGCCATCTCCTTATCGGACAGCGTGTTGAACTGGGCACCCCGAGACCCCCCC